AGTGAAGTCTTTAAGACAACTGAAACCTCATCACTCATCTCAAGCATTTCCATCCTTGGAGAATAATAAAACACAAGAACAAACATAGGAGTAGGCTGCTGCATTTGATCCTGATCTACTTCCAAAGACAGACTGAAAACATGATGCTACATTTTACTTCATCCATAGTCTGTTTTACTAAATCAAACATTCCAGTCACAAAAGGTTGACCTGCTGAGAAAGCTCAAGACCATCAAAAAGAAAGGGCAAAAAAGCAGATAAAGCCCATTTCACTGCAGTGTGTGGGGTACTCCCATGAGAAAAACTTCCAAATATTACAGCTCTTTAATATAATGGCTAAGCAAAAGAAACAAAGAGCAATTACTGGTAGGCAAGGTCAGGTCTCATCTAACTGGGAAAGGCCACTCAGGATATTTCATCATTAGCAGATGATGTGTTCACTATCTCCTATCATCCTTCCACCAAAGTAAGGGATTCTTCTGCAAGCTCTTCTTCAGTAAAGTTCAAGTTCTGGGGCTCAGTCATTCAGGTAGAAATTTCTCTGAAATGTAAACAGACTTTACATGGCTTTAACAGGCACTAACATCTAAAAGCAAACAGCTATGGCATGCTGGCAGCAGGGCTGTATCAGCAAGCACTGGGGTTTGTGCTGGGGTAATAAAAAGGTGGGGCTGACAAACACATTTTTGACAAATGAATTGCCAAAGTTCAACCTTTAAGAAGTGTCCTTTTGTCTGCAAGGTTCCTTCTTCACCTGTTTTGTAAAACATACCTCTCATTTTTGTTTGTTTGAGCATTTTTCTCTGTCAACCACAATATGCAACTGAAAATTTGCCAACTGCCTCCTTGCCTGCTCAGAGAATGGTATCAGTGTCTCCAAATGCCATCTGCCAGCCAGGCTGTCACTCTCCCAGATCCTTGTGGCTGTTCTGTGTCTAACAGCTGCATGACAGCCACACACACTGTCAGCTTGCTTGGTCCTGATGGTTTGATGCTATCAGGATCAAAACAATTTCTATATGACTTCTATATTGGATAATACAATATGTGTAAGTTTTATGGATTAGTCAACAGCCTTTGCAATGACTCTGTTACTCTTTCCAAACTGAGAGGTGCAAACCTTATTTTCTACATCTGGGACTTAACCTGCAGTGACAACAAGATCCCAATAGAACCAGTCACAGTTACTTTTTCCTATTACAAACAAGTGGCAATAGTGAAGATAATTTCTCTGACAGTTATTTAAACTGCAAAATTAAAACCTTCTTTCTTCTACAAAGTTTCTAGTAGCTGTTAATATACCATCTATGATTATTTTTTAATCTAATTTTTCATACTTATCACCATGACAGAGAAACCCACAATTAAGAGAAAAAAGCAAGTTTGGGGTGGTTCTCTCATGGCTGAATTAGATATTGTCCAGTTTTTGTGGCTGATGGAACACTTTAACAGAGTACTTTTAAAATCTGTTAGCTACTAGGGCAGCATGCAGTGGGAATGCCAAAGCTGCAAAACTGCAGCTTTTATTTCTAGAGGGCTCAATCCAGATGCTTACATAGAGACACCTCTGATAGGTGTGAGCCCCAGCACCTGAACAGGGCTTGCAGAGGGAACATGGGGCTGACAAGGACCTGACTCACCTGGTGGGGCTGCTGAAGCCAAGGCAGGAAAGGATGCAGGAAATCTTCAAAGACACCATGCCTGTAGTTAGACATGAGTCATGCCTCACATCACTTCCCTTGATTACTTATCTTGCAAATGGAAGCCATACAAAATGCAAACAAATGGTTTCATTCACCACAGATAAATCAAGTTTTACAAGCTGGCAATAATTCTTTGTTATGATGGGGGCAGACTCCTTTTATTTTATTGACCATATTTTACTGACTTGGATAATGATATATTTTGCCTCTTTTTTCAGCTGAAATACCAGATTTTTAACTCAAGTGTTCTTATGTCTTATTAAAAATTTGACACCTCACTAATGATGACTTTTGATGACCTAACCTTGATGGAACTGAAGTAAATTCTTGTGTATGCCAGCATGAAAGCTAACATGACTTAAGAACATCTACACAGGGCTCAAATCCATGGGCACAATCCTTGGGAACATCATGCTCAGCCTTGCATGTATTTTAAAGCTCAGTTATTCAAAGGGACAAGAACTTGAAGGGTGTTGCACCCCAGCAGGGAAGCCCCAAGATGACATGCTTCACCCCTTGGTCCCTTCATTGCTTCTAAAATGCATCACTGCAAGACATTCTATCTAAACACCATCTGTACATTCACAGACACACAGAAATGCTGTTACTGTACAGACAAGTATGTTTAGTGTCCAACAAACCAACTGTGCCTACAGAACTTGGAGGTTTGTGTGTCCAATACCTTTCTACCTCACAGGAAAGAGGTGGAGGAAGTTTCAAGATACTCCTGGATCAGCTGAGTCACCTAAAGCAGCAGTTCATATACCACAATCAATGGGCTGTCTTGCTTCAGACACTAGTCATAATTAACAATAAAGGCAGAGTCATTTTCTGGATAGTAACTGTTGAAAATTTTATATTATTTGAAAGTAACAAAGTTCTTGCTTGAAGTAAGTAGTTAGAGTTGTGGGGCTACAAACTGAACTTTATCTGAACCATATGGCTCTGTTGTGTAAGTCAAAGATGGATTACAGAGAAATCCAGAGCTAATAATCTCATAATTAAGAGCAATAAAGATAGATTGTAGTGAAATGTGAGCAACCAGAACATTAGTAATAGAATAGACAAAGTTAGCAGCTTAAATATTACTTAAAAATTGGTGGCTAGAGCAGACAGCCCATTGATTGTGGTAATGAGCTGTGACAACCATACTCCAAAGTGGGATACAGAACTGACCAAAACCCCCACCAAAACCACCTCAGGGCATGTGAAGATGACCATGTAGCAACCCTCTGGTAACAAAACAGTGAACCAATATTGAGGGAGAAGACTCCCAATATTACCATTGGTCTGGAGTGTTGCATGAGGAATGGGGAGTTTAGATTGTGAGGTTTTACTTGCCAAGGGGTTTCTTTGATTAGGGCCCCTCTTTTGAGGCACCTGAGCTTGAGCTACCAGATATCACAACTGATTTGTGCCAATAACCCACCTAATGAAGATGAGAGCCTAGTGAAAAAAACTTCTTTAATAGCAACAACAGAACTTGGTAGAGTATATAAAAACTAGAGAGTTAAAATTAAACTCTAAAACCCCAAACTCTAAACTTAGAGTCCAGATACTTTGCATTTTTTAATGTTTTTACAAAACATAACCGCTTGACCTATTTGCATCATGTAAAACATAAATGTAGCAACTCTGATATTTCAGACGGGTTCTGGTTTTTTTTGCCACAAATGCATCGTAATTTTTTCATGGGTAGCCACTTGTTAGCACCTACTACAGTAGCACTCACATTCTCAGATCTAAAAGGAACAGCAAATATCCTGGATAGTAAGAGACCGTGGAAATGAAAAGAATCTGCCACAGACCCTCCCCAGTGGGGGGTAGCTAAACAAGAAGTTATTTCTGTCTTCTGCTGACTGTGGGCTTATGGCCAGGGCCTGAACAAGAATCGCCTGTCCCTGAGCCCTGCTCTGCCAGGGGAGGCAACAAAGAGCAATTGTGGAGCTTTGTGATGAGATAATAAAATCATGCTGTGGTAATACTTGTGCTAGGGAAACATTTCTACAAGGATAGTAAAGTTTATAGGCAACAGAGAAGTCCTTGTGAGTTTTGTGAGCTTAGGCCCCAGAGGGCTCCTTGGGCAGATATGTTCTCCAGGTAATACTTACTTTTTGACCTTCAAGTTGTCAAACCATATGGCCCACAACAACCTGCCATCCCCTTATACTAGAGTCCTCCCTGGAAGAAGGTTTAGTCTGCTTTGCAATGACAAGATGAAAGTCAAGGGTGTTGAAGAGAATCTCAACAAATTTGAATTAAAACCAAAGAACTCACCCAACCCCAAGGTTAATTAAACTCACAAACACCACGGAATCATGCATAAGCAGTCTTCACGGATTTTTGAGAGACAGAAGATTTAAAAATATTTACACAATTTCACGTAAGTAAAAATCAATCAGGCTTCTCAAATCATAGAATGAAAACTATTGTTGCTATTCCCAAATTGTCCCCAAAGCATCTTCCTTATAGCAGAGCAGCTATTGAGATTTCCAGGTGGATTGACTCTATTTGTGTTAATATTAAGGACATCAGATAAGTTTGATACAAGACTGCAAACTAATTAAGAAAATAATTAAGAGACTTTAAATTGCAAAGGATGTGCAGCTGAAAACACTGATTGGAGGAAAAAAGTTCTGGACCGAGTTCAGAGAGCAAAAAGCAGATGAAAATATGCAGATTTGGAGTTGTAATGTCACATCAGGTGCAGCTCTTAATTGGGAGCTCAGTTTCCGAGAGAAAGGTACACTTTAGGGTTAGTTGGAAAATTGTTCTGAAAGCATTTTTTTCAGTAACATTTGATACTTTTGTTCAAAGTAACATGTTCAGGAAGATATGAATTTTGATGAAAGCTCAATTTTAAAATGAGACATTCTGACAGAGCTGAAAAGTTCAATTTTAACATCCACATAATGGAAGCTTTTCACTGGAGAATGGTTAGCTTTCAATGAGAACTCCATTTAAAAACGATAGTTAAAAAAAAGTTTTAAAACCTAAACTCATTTAACCAAAGAAAATACCTCATTTGACAACGATGATTCCTTTTATATTTCTCCCAGCAGAAGCTATTAAATAAAAATTTAACTTCTGAAATTTCAAAGCGGATAAAATTCTGTTTTTGTATTATTCAACAGAATGAAACAAGCCATTTTTACCCAGCTTTCTAGCACCAGCATTGACCACAAAAGAGTAGCTGCCTCTGTGCATTGCAGAGCCTCCCAAAGCCACCATAAGCCACAGCAACAGGTGCTGCAGCAGCACAGTGCCCCTTGCATCCTCCACAAAAGAAGTTCTTACTGGCTCATCTGCCGACAAACTGGCAGCCCCTACGGCTGGTTTCCGAATATCCTCTGCGAGTTTGTAAGTCTGGCTCTGGAGGTTCAGAAAACACAATGTATGAGACACTCATGAGCCTGTGGTTACAAAACATGACATTAGGAGAAACAGCAAACTGCAGCTGGAAAGCTGTGGCAACAAATTCTATTTTATTTTCTGCTCTTCCAGAAGCAGTTCTCTGATACAGACGCAGCCATTTCTCCAAGATTACCTGTAACTTCCTAGGAACAACAGAGAGATGCAATTCCCAGATGAGTCTGGACTGAATGATGGGATTCTCTTCCAGCATGGGGTCACCCCTGTTCCCACTGTAGCCTGCAGCACAACTGTGGGGTCCTGCACCCACATCCAAACCACCCAATCCAGCACGGAGCTCACTCACACACCTGCAACAGCTGCCTGAGCTGCAGTGCTGTGATCACCCCTGCCACGGATACACCCCCTCTGGACAGTCACAATGTGAATGGAATATGTTTGCCCTGCACTGCATTCCATGTGAAAGGCTCTCCAGGACCCCCAGGAGATGCGAGATGCCTGCTGACAGCCCTATGATGTGTGTATGTGTCCTGTGCAGCAGGAGCCTCCTTGGCTGTGTCTCCTGGGCACAGCTGGAACTGCTGGACACAGGCAGTGCTGCTGATCTGCTCACTCCTCTCCCCTTAGCAAACAGCCAGACTGCAAAAAGATGGTGTGGAGATGGGACCAACATCCCATTCACAGGGAGACAAAAAGCTCCTTGGATCTGTAGCTGGAACTTTATGCAAATGGGGTGTATGCAGGGCATGGGGTGTCTTGATCACTCTGCCAAAGAAAGCATCCTGGGGAGCTGATCCAAAAGCATCAGAACCTTGGCATGTCTCCAGGCCTTGCTGAATTTGGATTTAAGAAATAGTTACATGATAATATAAACCTTACAGAAACTCACTTTGGCCTGTATCTGCAGGCAGGCTGTCTTCTATAGATACATACTGCAAAACTGCATGAATTCTGCATTCAAGGAGAAAATGCACTGCTGAATAAATATTGTTTTTATCCACTAGTTTCAAAATTGGAGATAAGACCCCCATCTTCCTCAGCACAAGCTACTTAACTTGCAGAGGAACTAATTATTCAGAGCTGTCACACAAAAGTTCGTGTCAATCAAGTCATTTTGATATTAAATGTCTTCATGCAGACAAATGTTACCAAAAATTGTCTCAGTCAAACCTCATACAGTAATTTGATGCAGTAAATCCCCACATTGGATTTTAATTGGGACATTCTGTAAATACTACACTTTTAAATTACTCCTGTCCCTATTGTTCTGTGAGAAACACCCAAATTTTGAAAGTATTGGCCTTTGAGACAGGAAGTTTTTCATATTTCTTTAGGGAATTATTTTAGTGTTCAGAATGTTCCAACACAAATTTTCTAAACTAACTAAAATTAGTTTTTCCAGGACATCCTGTGCATCATTTCTTTTTCTCAAAATGAAAGTGCTGCCCTGTTTAAAGGAGCTTTAAAGCACTCAGGACTTGTGTGTGGCAGTAATAATTTCATTATTCATGTACTGTTACGAAGCAATGTAACCAGCTGCATACAAATTTCCCCAACAAAGTAGCTTTTGAGTTTAAATCTTCACTTGCAGCTGTATTAATGCCATATAAAGTCAAAATTGACAAAAATAAAACCAGGACATCATTGCATTCTTGGCAATCCAAATTAAATAATTACTTACATGTGAACTGCCCATTTTTGCTTAGCCTGAGTGTGGAAGGTGCAACTCCTCTGCTCTTCAATAAAACAAGCATGCAGTTGGAAAAGATAAATACTACCTAAACCTGGGTTAATCAATAACTGCAGACATTATTTAAATTCTAGTCATTGCAAGGTGGGGTGTATTCATCATTACATGGTGGCTTTATTGTCCCCACTATCTAATATCACATCCTGTTGTGTCATGGAGCTGACTGCTTTCGCCAAGGAAAATCAGGATTTCACAATGTAGGCCTCAATATTATACATACTGATTTATCCAATTGTTATTACAATGATTTAAAGCATAAAAAACATTGAAGCACCCAACACAAGGTTTCCAAACAGAGAGAAAGATGCCTCCTTTGAAGGGTTTATATCAAATCTTACAGAATTTAATGGTATTTAATATGCCATTGAGGACCCTCAGCTCCTACAAAATATTTTGAACAGAATCTCACTGCTTAATATGGTTTATGTGATCAGGTTTTGGTAGTCAGGGGATTTCAGGGGTATCCTTTGTGAAAAGAGACCAAGGGTTGCCCCATGCTGGACAGAGCCATGGCCAGCTGACTCTAAAATGAACCTTCCCCTGACCAAAGTTGAACCCCACCAATGATGCTGGTGGTGCCTCTGTGATAATGTATTTAACAAATGGCAAAAATTACTGGGCAGAAGCTGTGAGAGAGGAATGAGTAAACTGAGAAGGAAACAGCCCTGCAGACACCCAGGTCAGTGGAGAAGGAGGAGCAGGAGGTGCTCCAGCTGCTCTTGCAGAGATTTCCCTGCAGCCCATGGTGAGGCAGCTGTGCCCCTGAGACCATGGAGGTCCATGGGGGAGCAGAGATGCTCCTGCAGACCATGGATGTCCATGGGGGAGCAGAGATGCCCCTGCAGCCCATGGATGTCTGTGGGGGAGCAGAGATGCTCCTGCAGACCATGGAGATCCATGGGGGAGCAGAGATGCTCCTGCAGACCATGGATGTCCATGGGGGAGCAGAGATGCTCCTGCAGACCATGGAGATCCATGGGGGAGCAGAGATGCTCCTGCAGACCATGGAGATCCATGGGGGAGCAGAGATGCTCCTGCAGCCCATGGATGCCTGTGGGGGAGCAGAGATGCTCCTGCAGACCATGGATGTCCATGGGGGAGCAGAGATGCCCCTGCAGCCCATGGATGCCTGTGGGGGAGCAGAGATGCTCCTGCAGACCATGGATGTCCATGGGGGAGCAGAGATGCTCCTGCAGCCCATGGGGGACCCCACATGGGAGCAGGTGGATGTGCCCTGGGGGAAGCTGCAGTCATGGAGCTGGAGCAGGCTCCTGGCAGGAATGGCAGCCTGTGGAGTGGAGCCCATGCAGACACAGGTTTTGTGCAGGACCTGAGATCCTGAGGAGGAAGGAGCAGCAGAGACAAAGGTTTATGGACTGACTGAAACCACCACTGCCCATGCCCTGCACCACTCAGGGAAAGGAGTTCACCAGCTGGGAGTGAAGGAGGTTGAGCCTAAGAAGGAGGATGAGGTCAAGAAGATGTTTTTAGTTTTGTCTTTGCTTCTCACTATCCCATTCTATTTACAATTGGCAATAAAGTAAATTAATTTCCCAAAGTCAAGCCTGTTTTGCCCATGACAGTAATTGGTGAATATGTCACTGTCTTTATCTCAACCCATGAGCTTTTTTTTCCCTATTCTTTCCCCTTTGTTCTTTTGAGATGGGGAGTGGCAGGGTAGCTTGGTGGACCTTTGACAGCTAGCCAAGGTCCTCCTTTAAACCTTAGGCAAGATACCCAGAGAAAAATAAGAAACCAAACCAAATATATTTGGATTTATAGCCGTTCAGGGGGAGGAAATCTATGTGATTTTGTAAAAGGCATAAGAAAATCATTGTTACTAAAAATGCAGTAATGATTCTAGATTTTAAGTAGATTGATAAGTGCAATGACCTCAGTACCATTCAAACACACTGAAAAAAATCAGCTTTAATCATGGTGCTCAAACACAAGTAATGCAAAAATAGAATGTGAGTATGAAAAACTTTATCCAGAATTCAACGATTTGTGGTAACATACCATCTCAAATGCATCACCAAGACCTTTAATGATTTGGGAACTACCCACTTCTTTCAGAATATTTATGGGAATAAAGGCATCCCAACTGATATGAAAGAAAATACTACAGTTAGAGGGAAAGCAACTGCAGGGTTTGTCTGGAAACTGAGCAGGGGGGTCAGGGAGCACTCATAAGCTCAAACATAGACTGGCATTCCTACTGCTTTCACTGATTGTGAATAAAATACAGCAGTCCAGAAGGTGCAACTAATGAAGGATTTAGAACAAGCAGCTGATTGAGCCCTACAATGCCATGCTGGGCAGGCAAATGTTCTGTCTGAACATGTAAATAGACTATCAGTAGCAAAACTATGTGTTACTCTCACTGATCAGTTTGGTTGGCTTAGCTTATGTTACGGGGGTTTAAAAGCTTGTGCAGTTAACAAGAATTAAGGATTGTATGGTACTTTTTAGCTTTGTAAGTACAGGACTGACTCCCTGCAGAAGACCTGAGGACCATACTCCTGTGGGTGACACACCCCAGGCCATGACACAGGGGCACTCTGAGAATTCAGAAAGGTGAAAAGGAGATGAAATATCATTCCCGGCAGGAAACACCACCCAGCAGTGTGGAACTGGACTGGCAACCCTGCTACTCTGGAGATCATTGCTGGTGACCCCCAAGCTAGTCTTTGCTCTAAAGGGAACCACAGAACTGTTTACAGATGGTGGGTCTTAACTGAGGCTAAATGGAAGAGGCAATGAAAATCTTCAGTCTACTGAAGCACATGAAATAGTGGAGCACTGAAGTGGTAACAGGTAAGAACTGAGCAAAGCTGAGCTTTTTGTAGAGGATTTGTGGTAGCAGTGTGCCCTCATGGATGGGCAGTGGATGCTTTGTCTGTCTGCAAGTAGATGCAGAACATTCCCTGGAGAAGATGCCTGGATTTCTGTGTGACAGAGAAGCACAGCTTGTGGATTACACCAACAGAATGGAAACCTTCACCAGCCTTGACCACAGTGTTGGTATGAGCTGTGAAATGGCTTTTACAGTGGTACTGGTGCCTGGCACTCCTGTTCAACTCTGCAGAACTCTGGGGAACCTGTGTGAGACCGAGAATTTTCAGAAAGAAAGGCAAGCACAAAAATTCTGAACAGTATTTAGAGATTTATTCAGATAAGTCAAAATGGGCACAGGGTTGACCAGGGACTGATCATGCACTATCAGGGACCAAGAGATCCTCAAATGTTCACCAAGACATTCAGTAAAAGGGAAAAGCTGATGGGAGAACTGATGCTTTCATATGTTCCCTCTGAAGAGGTATTTAAAGGCTTGAAAACTGCAGTTGAAGTGCTAAATAAAAAATTCAGCCTATCAACAAATTTGGCTAAAACCAGGCATTTACAATGAAATTGTCTCCAGTGTCCTTGAAGGAAGTCAGTGGATAGACATTTCCAAGGAAAAATTCCCTGGTAACTATGTAATCTTAAGATCTGATCAACAG